GAAAATATAGGTACACATTTACGTAAAATTATAAACCAATAATGGATTCGTGTATGCTTGTGTAAATTTATTAATAAATAATAACATTTATATTCCGAATGAAGTGTCGATTGACTTCAGCTTCGATACACGCGTTTAAAAAAACATTTCGTGCTTTGTAAATCACATTTTATTAAAACAAAATTAAAGTATTACATATTGATTCTCTTTAACTTCTTTGGAGTGGAATCTCACTCTAATGAATGGAAATTGTGAATCAATAATGGATTCATACGCTTGCGTAAACTAATTAATTAATAATAACGGATATTTGCATTCCGAATAAATCGATTAATTTCAGCTTCAATACACGCGTTTAAAAAACATTTCGTGCTTTGTAAATTCTGTTTTATTTTCTAAAAGAGTAGCTGAATTTTCAATCTTTAAGAGTGAAATCTTACTTTTCAAAGTAATAATTTACTTATAACTTTAAAAGTTTTAGAGAATAGATGCGATACTTAATGATTCTGATGCAAGCATTAGTTTGCATTTTCATTTACGATGTACACGCGGTGACGGTCGAACGTTTACCGCGAACACACACTTACGAATATTATGCGACAAAGATAACGAAAAGAAAAATTGTTGCTGAAGACATTGTCGCAATCGACGCGAATACGATTGGCATGTTACATGCGTGCGATTGACGTTAAATTTAGGCGATGAGTAAGCTACGCGCAAAAAACATCGTTTAAAAATATACGATACTATTCGATCGGTCCGCTAAATCGGCCAATATGGGTTTTCTTGACCCAGATACGGTAATTAATCAGGAAGGAAAGGAAAGGGACGGGCTCCTTGTCGAGATATTTCGCGTGCGTTCCATTCGATAGTCAATTAATGTAAGAAGAAAGGGTGCGGTGTGTCATGAGAAGCAAAGAATGAAGAAGATCGATATACTCGACTACTAAAGTTAGGCTGCTTTAAAAACTATTAATCGATAGTTTTCATTAAAGAACAAGTAAAGAAAGAAACAAATTGGTTATTCTTGCAATATCAAAATAAATTATAGTATTTTAGGTTTCTATTGTTGTGTGTGAATAGCAATTTTTTATTTATTAACCAGAACAACTTGCGCTATATCGTGTATATTACTGCATTAGAATATCTAAAACTTTAATTATATTTAAATTTAAATTCTAAAAATAATTTTATCAGACCGTTAAAATAATTATGAAGGAAACTTAAGCATGTTAAAATAAATTTTGACATTCTAGCAGCTGGCATATATAAACAATTTCGACAGTCTAATAAAATCATTTTTATATCTGGCTAACTTTTTAAATGTTTAAAAAGAACTGTTTGTAAAATTTTGGAAATTTTCATTATAAGAACATTCAAATAAGTGATTTATTGTTACATTAATAATATTGTACTTCAGCATTTCTGTGTTTGATACGCGATTGAGGAGACGCTGCTGCGCATTTATGCGCGCGAATAACAGTAGATTGATTTTGTAAATCTTATCAGGTCTGTCACGAGTCTTGGAAGATCTCCTACTATAATGATGTTAATAAGCCATCGTGATTCCGCGAAACACACACAAAAGTCGTCTCGCGTCAGTATTTTGTACGGATGCGAAAAATGTCAGTGTCAATTAAGTAATTTATAAACACCTGCGTATACAAAAATACATACATCGTTGTCGACAAGCCACAATTGCTTTATACATATATAATAATACATATATAAAAAGCGTAAATTACGATACAAGTAAGACGTCTTTTCCAAGTCACGCGTATTTACGAAGCACATCTACAGATTTTGCTATGCGAAATTGCACATATTTTATTTTTATACCTCAGTCACGATTAACGTGCGACCTTCCTTTGCCTCGCGCACTTCAACGCGATTTCTTGTGCTTTTACGACTTTTGCGAAACTTTTCTTCGGAGTTCGTCAAAGTATTTTTTTAAACTCTATACATACATACAATACATGTATACATATATGAAATATATGTTTATAGTTGTTTTTATTAATTGGAAAATATAATAAATTATAATAATAATAATGAAGAATCACAGTAATATGATAGATCCGTCAAGTCAATAATTTAAACGATTTAGAATTAGCGATCGAACGGTAAGAGCGAAAGTTAAGTTCTATACGAATGCAATTGTCGGGATCGAGCTATTACACTGTAAAACGCTCTCTGAATGATCAGTTACATCACCATCCGAGCCTCCTTATTGTTTACGCATCACCGTTTACATTCTGTTACCTTTTGTCATCGACAATTTGACATTTGATCGACCGTTCAATTGAAAGAAAACGTTGTCTTATTATAACATTGCGTATCAAACATTTGCAACCCGCCAATAATACAATAACAGCGCTAAATGTCATCCAATCATAGAATTTCGCGGGAGGAAGGTATCGGGGATTCGCGATCGTTCGCGTACTCACTTTTCTTCGGGGAGCACGAGATCCTCTCTCTTTTCCCTCGGGATCGATTGCCACAGGTGCACCGTGCGTGCCTATACACGGGAAAAACGTACGCGGATGCTGCACACGAACGAGACCGCGGAACGTGACGTGACGCGATGCGACGTGGCGCGGCGAGGCGAGAGAGACGCGGTAAAAGATCGCACGCAGGTCCAGCACGCGCGCGCGTTCCGCTCGCAATAGGAGATGACCAGAAACTGTGCCAAGAACAGTGCCGCGGCGGCCGCGCCAAACCGCGATGTGGCATACACCTACGACGTCGTAACACACCTACATCGCGGTGCCACGGGTGTACCAACACACCGCGCGGCGACGGGGAGGCCTACGCGCGCGTGTCGGTCCCGCGGTGCGCTACCGCGACTTACGCGAACGGCGTGTATCGCGATCGCGAGATATGCGGTAGAAAAGAGCGCGGGGCTCTCGAGAGTATAGAGTTCTGGATGCGGACCAGAGCGGCGCGCGATCCTTTTATCTGAGCCGAGAATTTTCCTTGTCTCTGTCGTCCAAGTAATCATAATATAAGAGTATATGTACTCTAAATCTCGTGGAGTGAAATCTCACTCAAGGAGACTAAAAATTGGGCCAGTCTTGAAAAAGAGTGGAAATACCACCACTGTTTTGAAGTGAATCTCATTTTAAAAGAGAGTAAATCTCTCGCTTTTAAAAAAGAGTGCAGGTAGATTTTCACTCTTTTTCTCAAGACTGACTCAATTTTTATAGTCTCCTTGAGTGAGATTTCACTCCACGAAATTTAAAGAGTATATACAAGTTGTGAATAATAAGTAATAAGCTTAGTAATTGTTTAAATATGACGTGATTGTTGTCAAACATGATAGACTTTTGCGCTACACTGGCTACATCCGGAGTTCTACTCGAGAGAACGCTCGCCCGCGCGATCGCGCTTTTCTTTCTTATATATATACGAATCGCTCTCCGCGCGAGACTTTATCTCCGCTCGTGACAGGCCGAGGGTAAACTTTGCCGTTCATCTGATCCTCTGTATACGAACGCGTCGCGCGTCTCGCTCCCCCGGGAAAGTCTCGGTGTCCGCGACTTTCCACGCGCGAGCTACGTCTCTGTCAAACTCCTTCGACACGGTCGTTAACTCCGAGGAGCCGAGCGGCGACGAATTAATGAAGTTTCACGCAACTTTCCTATAGATCTAGAAAAGTGCGTTTTACTCGAAGCTTCGTTCAATTTTCTTGATGAGAAATCGTGCCCGTTTTATCAAAATTTTTCGTGTATCAAAACTCAACGCTAAGCAAATACTATACCAAGTAAAATGATAGGCTCGCAACATTTTACACGCAGTTACAAGGTGAAGAGAGGAGCGTTTCTGCGTTCTTATAACTGAATTATTAGGACATACAAACGCGATACGAGTAAATTGCTTTATGAAATTATGATACAAGTAAGACATGCCCCTTCTAATTTATCTGCAAATTTGTAACGCGGTTTACGGAGAGTGACGTGTATAATTATGTATATCGTCGTTACGCCACAATGTAATTTTCCGCGATAGGTTTCAGAAGAAAGAGTCCGGACGGAGCCGACGTACTACACAAACGTTAGTTTGCATACGCGTTGCGTGACCTCGAGATAACATCGCGATGAACCGACTGACATTGCCGCTATATTTGCGCACATAGGTAATGAATGGTTTTACACGTAGACGATTATTTTATATCGACTGAAAGACGAGCATTCGCTGCGGTAACTCCCGAGTAATTAGACTTTCTCCGTTTTTTGCACACATATACTTTTATATACACACATATATAAATATCATTTTTAAGAATTGTAATCCGCTTTAATTTTACAAAATATATCGTAAAAATATTAGCCTTAGTTATAACGGCATTTTAAAATAAAAAGACATACAAACGTATTACAAATAAGTAAAACAAATTTAAATAATTTTACAATTTTGTTTTTTGTAAACGTTGATAATGTTTATATATAAATAAAATTAAAATAAGATAATATATTTTCTTTAGAAAAAGTATTTTTTTAAAAATCGAAAGAATAGAGTTTAGAATTGCAATTGCAATTAATAATCGATATAAATAATTTTATTAAAAAGCAAAGTTGTAGTATTATGTAATATGTAAAAAAATTAATTTTAAAAAGTGTGTCTTCGATAAAAATAAAAAAATAATAAATTATAGATTACAATTATAATTAATAGTGCATTTATCTCGTTCAAAATGCTTTTAAAATGCAGAAGTGTTAAACCAGTTGCAGAGTTTCAGGCATACGTTGCCCTACTTTTGCTGTACTTTTGCTAATGTGTTAAGAATATGTTTTCCTTATTCATTATTTCTTACTTATTTTCGTGTAGTAAATAGAATTTTTTATTTTAGTTTTAAACATTTAATCTAAAACTTTGAAAATCTTTAAAATTTAAATTTTAGTGCTTTGTCCTCAGTGTGATTTATATTATTAAGATAGAGAAAATGAAACATCGGAATTGTACATACATGTCTATCGATGGCAGGCAAATGCGCAGTTGTTCTGTCTACTTAACCTATTGGGTTAAGTAGACTATATTATAAAAAAAATATTTGTCTAATCAAGAAAATTCAAAATTGAAAAGTTTAAATCGAGAATGATTTTAAGGGTGGAAGATAAATTTGAAGTTATCGGTTTTGAAATTTCGGCTACGCGATGTTTGGCTTGCCTCTTGAACTACAAATATTATCCGTGAATATCTTAGGCCTGGTAAATACATCTCAATCTTTATAGTGTACATGCATGATTAGTAACAGTACCTCATAGAATTTAAACAAAACTCGAAGGTTTGAATTCTTTTACAATAAGTTTAGAATTATAAATCGTTAAAGGTTAATCCCAAAACGCACACACACATATTTCTATTATAAACAATATATACATATATATTATAATGTTGCATATTTATCAGTTACATTTGTAACTTTTACATACATACTAATTATTTAAATATTAAAAATTACATACAAAACTAATTATTAAAATAAATATATAATTATATATGTTATATATAATTATATAATAATTATGTAATAATTATATAATAATTATAAATGTATTATGTAATATATAATATTATATTAATTATGTTGCATTTTAATTATTTTGGTAGCAATTCAAATAATTGTTTAAAAGTATTCTTAACTTTTAATTTTAACATCGAGAATTTGAAATTTGCGTATTAATATTTGTTCTACTCACATTAAGTGCGTTACGTTACTGTGTCAAGGTTAGCATTACTTTAAACTGGAACTTGTTCAAGTGGGACCAGCAGCTAGAGAAGATCTCGAACGTCTCAGTTTCACAATCCGATGAATTAGATGTAAAAAATATCGACTGGCTTAAGACGAGTTAGCACTTTGTCTCGTATACTCGACATAAAAAGACACAATTATTATTGTAGCTGCTGATATAATCTAAAAATATTCCTGTCATAGAAGTAAAAGTTAAGGATGAAAAATTTCTTCAGTTCTATCTTGGATTGTCATCGCACGATTCATCATCGATCGCATCTCGCCCCTCGCATATATGGCTAATATCTACACAGTAGTGACGCGAAGCCGGCAGAATTTGCTCAAATTTTGGATGGTACTCAGTTTTCTTAAAGATATCATTTTGGAAGTCGTCGTGATTGTCATTACTATCATGCTATGGCAGGCTACAAAGAAAAGCTTTCCGACGTCGCTCCTCGTTGAGTTTGTTGTAGACAAAACAATATTTCTGGGTAATAACAATTATAATAATAATAATGATAATTAGTAAGTAAGTGAGCAGAAGTTGAATTGATCAGGGATCAAAGATCTATAGACGTACCGTAAACATACTCTCTAAATTTCTTGAAGTGAAATCTTACTTTAATAAACGAAAATTGAGCCAGTCCCGAAAAAGAGCGACTCACTTTTCAATCTTTAAGAGAAAATTCTAAGATTTATTATAAAAATTTTAGAGGATGGGTAATTAAATCACAAGTTTCTTTTTCTGTGTCAAAACCTTGATCATTTCAGTTATCTCAACCGGCAAATTATGGACGACTCTCAAGTGGTATATGCAGCTACGAAGAGTGACGAAAATTCGCAGATTTACAATAATAGCGAGGAGAAGTATCGCAAATATCACTAATGTTCCCGGCAGAATCGGTCGTTCGCTGGATGACGAATGTCTTGGTATAGCGATAATTAGACGAGGCAAGTATGCGAGTTTGTTAAATCTAGGCAGGCTCTCGGAGGAATCGTCCAGCAGAACAACCACAAAATCCTTGACGACCTTAGTCACTGACGACACGAATGGCACAAATGGTACGAATGGCGCAAACAATTACAATTCCGACGACTTGAGCGTGGCTGAAAAATCGATGAGGATGCTGAATGTAACCGCGGAGGATGTGATGGACGCGCGTGCCAGAATACAAGAGCGATCTTATTGGGACGAGCAAGATGCGATTGCGAAAATACCTGAAGTGATAGAAGAAGTAATAAAGCAACTTCCTCTGGAAAAGAACGAAGAAAAAATAATCAATGCAACAAAAAATACACAGCTAACGGAGGATAATTTAAAGAAAACTGTAAATAATACTTTAAGAAAAAAAGACATTATAAAGAATCTTCCAGTAAAGAAAGAAAAGGAAACAAGTAATAAAGAAACTATTCTGGTTGATAAGAAAGAACAGATTTTGACTGGAAGTCAGGAAGAAGTAATAATGCAACTTCCTTCGAAAAAGAACGAAGAAGAAATAATCAATGTAGCAAGAAATACACAGCTAATGGAGGATAATTTAGAAAAAATTGTAAGTCGTATCTTGAGAAAAAAAGACATTACGGAGTATCTTCCAGTGAAGAAAGAAAAGGAAGAAGGTAATAAAGAAACTATTCTGCTTGATGAGAAAGAACAGATCTTGACTGAAAATCAGGAAGATGTTTCATTGGAAATAAAAAATGTCGCATCTGACAAAGTGAATCACGCAAAATCAACGGGATCTCATGATATTTATGTGACATCAAAGAAGAAAAGGAAAGAGAAAAAGGAAGGAGTTGAAAAGATCGTGCAGTGTCCTTCGTTCCAGAGTATGAATGCAAGAAACACAGAGGCTAAGCCTTGTGCTTCCCTCGTGAGAAAATTAAAAGCAAAACTTTGTCCCGTTCTTATAAATCAAGAGAAGTGGATCGATAGAGTTGATCGTGAAGGGTACCCTTACGAAGTCAATACACAATTAACGCCAACTAGTTCAAGCGCAAGTAAAAAAGAACGTCATAAGATTTCGAACATCTCATGCGGGTGCCATCGTGCTTTGCGTAAAAATAGAAAACACGTGCAATCGATCGGTAGCGATGGTAAAAATATCGAATATGATATTAATAGAAAAGAATTCAAATCTTTCAGACCTATCGTCAATATGCAGAGAAGCAGGATCGACAAATCCACGTTTAAATATTCAGAAGCGTACCGTTTAAAGAAGCAAATTCAGAAATGGGAAGAATATCGCGGTAAGCACTCCTGGGGAAGCAAGTCTCTAGCCGAAACTGCACGTTCCTCGGGATACGCAAAGAACGTCTTTAATACGTCTGATAAGTTGTCAGTTATAAATTGTCGAAAGAACGTTCAGACTGACACTTGTGATGAGTCGATGATGATGAGCGATTCTTTGAGTGAACGACACAGATTGAAATACAGTCAGAAGCGAAGTAAACGACCGGTTAATTTGCGTCCCGTTTACAATGTGACATCGTTTAGAGAAAATTCGGAGACATGTAAAACGAAGATGAAAGCTTTAGAAATTAATAATAATTTTACGTTGGAAAATAACACAGAAACAGAAGCGAGAAAAAAGTGTGATCTGCTGCTGGCGAATCGCAAACTGTCGATCGAGCAACGCGAAGCGATAGAATTGAAGGCATTAAAAGCTTATAACGAGCTTACCTTGTCAGAAGATAAGAGAGAATTGGAAGTAAGGAAGGACCGAGATTTATCGTTGAATTACGGACGATCGGCGAAGGAATCCGAAGTACCAGAGATGAAAGTTTTAAAAACTTATAATGATTCCTTACTGGAGGATAAAAAGGAGATGGAGAGAACTAGAAGACATAATTTGTCGCCAAGTTCCCAGCAATCGATTGATGAACGATGTATCCCGAGAGTTCGTAACGAACTTGAACGATCGGGAAGCAAGAGAGAGTTGCAAACTAGGAGAAAACGCGATTCATCGAGAGATGAAACGCCATCGGAATGCGAAAAAATTGTCGAGACTCCAGCGAGCGTCTCTAATCGTCTTTCAATAGGTAGTTGGGAGAGTACCATGATCTCCACACATCAGAACGTGAACAGCAATTTTAGTCTGAACGATCGTTACGCAAGACAGGCGCATATGTCATTGAATCTCTGGGAGATCACAAGGAACATTGAATGGACCGTTCATCCGCGAGGTATTATACTCACCAATAAGAATCTGCAAGGTCAATTCTTAGAGAATGGGAGATTTCGCGAAAACCAACAACGCGACATTGTTGATGACAACACTGCAAGCATGTTGCACAGCGCTTTCTTCTTTAAACCCGAGATCATAACGCGAGTCTTTCGGCGCGATCACACCCAGACGAGGATTGATCAGTTCTTCTCGAGATTTCCGACATTCCTACGGCAAGACTTCAACACGGAGTTTGTTTGTCAAATGAACAATGAGGTGATCGTGCGCCACTGGAACTCGCCGTTCGACTACGATCTCGAACGGATGATGGGAAACGATCGAAACGATCTTAGAGAGCAGTTCAACACTAATGACAATCGCAATACCACAAGCGAACATGATCACGATCTATGTATAATAGTTATTGGTCAGGAACAGGTTTCCAACGAATCGCAAACTGCGATAGAAGATTCGACGACCGTCGAAACTCAGGAAAACACGCGTTCGAGCATTGAAAGTACTCAAATGACGAATATTTTAGTATTCAATGAAAATCATAATCGCGTGGATAATGCAACCAACGATAATTTGCCAGTTCAATTGATCACAGATGTATTAAGAAACTTCAATATCGAAATATCAGAAGGAAACATATACGATGATGCATTGCCAATTGAAGAGTGCGAAGACGTGAGTAATGTGAATGTATATAACGATCCTCAATCTCGAGAATTTAATATGGATGACATAAATCTCGACGAAGAAAATAATGAGTGTGATGGAATTTCTTCACATAAAAATGAGGATATTGATGATACAATCCATAAAATTGAGCAACCTTTCAATTTAAGCGATAATTTTCTGAATAACGTAAATGTTGCATCGTGTGTTAATTCGTTAGAAAGATTAGATAATTCGAGAGATGAAAAATATTTAAGTACAATCGATATTCATTCTGAAAGCGAGACGTGCGAAAATAATTTATCCCTCAAAAGTACTGATAATAATATATCACAATTATCCAATAATAATAATAATAAACAGTTTGACACATTAGATAATAAAAGTACTCAAAAAAGTACGTTTAATCATTTCAAAAATTCTTCGAAATTACCTTTTTCCGGTCCATCGTCATTTATTACATCAAATAATTGTCATGAAATGAAATCAAGTGATGAAAAACTACAAAAATTGACCCAACTTTCAAATAGCACAATTACGTTAAATGATCAAAGGAAAGAATCGGAATCGAATTTAAAAGATACGAATTATACAATTTCACAACTTCATGATATAATTCCACAACGTCGGAGTGTCGAAATTTTAAATTTGGAATCCACGATACAAGATGACATAAGAAACCAGAAAAAAAATACAGACGAAGAAGTGAATGAATATTTAGTAGAAAAAATTTTCCAGATGCATTCAGACGATAAGCTCCAGCAAGATGATAGTTTTTATAATAGAAACGATGATCCAGGAACACCAGTTTCGTTTGACGACAATAGTTTGATGGAGGAATTTTTAAACGATCCCGTGCCGCCCTTAAACTCTTCTTAAAAGAAATTACGCACATTCTCAATAACAAACCTGCATGTTAACTTATAACACAGACATTTAGTCTTTAAATAACATTTATGTCGGTCATCATGTAAAGTCATTTGTCTAGAAATTAATCTGTATATCTGAGAAAAATAAAGTGTCATCGTGGTTAATTATCAATTTTCATTATTAAATTACAAATACATGCTTTTTTGACTAGTCATAAAGTAATACATGCTTTATTAAATAATCATAAAGTAATCTTCTCTATGAGTGCAATAAGAAAATATTACAATGAAATGTCTGAATTGACAAATTTACAGTTACGAAACGTCATTATCATCATTATAGAAAATATACATTTCCATTTTCTGACATAAAATAGTGCTACTAATGCTTGATGGATCAACCTTGACATTTTCATATATATATACGTAAGATAATATATGAGCAGTTACAATAAATTAAAGGAATGTGTTTCATACGATAGCAATATATTTTATTTCTATCAGATATTATAATAATTTTATATATCTAGTAAAAGTTTTATACAAATGTTTTACATATGTACAAAATATAATTATGCTAAAAATTTTACATGTAATTGTCTAATCATTGGTGTAACTCGGAAATCTACACTGCTTACAGTAGTAGGAATGTTTAAATAATGTACTTGTGCTAAACAATGCGTGTTAAATGTCATACAAAGATATATACGCTAGATCGTTTAATTTATCATAATTTACGATGCATAATGCAGGAATACAATAAATAAACGGAATAACCTAAGAAACGAGTATCCCTGAATGTTTAACGCTTTAATGCTGGAGATTTCAATGCTTAGACTTTAAAGAGACAGTCGCGTCAAAATCTGATTGGAGTTTTAAAGAGACAGTGGAGAATTAATTTAATATGAGATTTGAAAAAAGAATTTTTAACAAGTATCATCGAGGCCCGGATCTGAGTCAGGAACTACGTAATTAGGATCGCAGACCGTATCCCTGATAGCTTCTTTAACGTTCGCCTTAAATACTCTAAAATTAATACTTGCGCTATTTAGTGTTCCGTATAAATACATCGGCAACCGGTTTGAGAGAAGCCATACACTTTGATCCGATTCGTGATCCACTTTGATGTCATTTGGAAACACCAGAGACTCGTTGCTAGTACCAATTACGCCTAAATTCTGCGGTATATATTCCTTCCTAGTATCCCAGCACCACACGGAGTCTCTGGTGACCATGTTGAAGAACATAACGCCGCTGTCATCGATGACGGATCCCGAGGAATGGCCGTAATCCTTGGCTCTAGGTTTTCCTACGGGCATGAACTTCTCCGTGTTGTAATTCGCGGTTTGCTTGTCCTTGAAGACCGACGTGGACACGGAGAATTCTCGGAAGCTGGACATCGGATGAAAAAACAGCGTTCTGTCGTTGTGGACGTCCACGGGACTGAGCGCCATTCCGAATATTCCGTCGGTCCATTGGAATTTTATACCATGCAACTCGTATCTCGCCGCCAGGGGATCAGGATAGAAGAAGTGATGCTCGACTCTGAAGGTGGCATCCTTGAAAAAATCATACACCACGATACCGTATCGCCAGACGTCAGCCAAGTATGCTACTGCAGAGCCGCAATCGTTATTTCTGATATCCACCACAATGTTGATGTACAGGGAATCTTGCTTGATCTGTTCATCCGGCAAGGTAAATTTTCTGATGAGAGTATCGGTGCGTAGGTCGAAGATGAATATGGCTGGCGGGCAAACCTGTTTGGATCTTTTGGCGAGTTCTGTTTTACCAGAATCGAGAACCCACAGACGATTGCATTCGTCCACTTGAACTCGAAAGACTGACGTCAAGCTCTCGCAGTTTCCTGAAAAGAGAGAGAATGGGCAATATTTGGTTATTATGGATTTGCAGATAAATGTTAAATAAATTAAATTTCTAGTAGAAAATTTTTCTTTAGAACAATACAGTTCTTCAAAATTGCTTTCTTTTCTCTTTTATAATTTGTTAATCTACCAGCTTGTTCTCTCATATGACGTCATAAATTAAATAACTTAATGGTTCGCGCTTTTGTTTCGTTAAGAAATAGAAGGCAAGTTTGTTTGTTATCGCGAGAAAATTCGCGTGAGAAACTCATTTACTCAGTTTCCGTACTTTGTTGCGTGAAAATAATATTGCTGTTTCTTATATTCTTAGACTCTTCGCGCAAGTTCAACGTTATATAATTTGTAATCTGATCTCTCAGAATCTTTTTGCACGCGAATCACTTTCTTATCTTCACATTATAACTTAAACTGCAAATTAAAACTATGTTTTAGATTAGTCACAGCATTTTTCCTAAATTTTTTAACTAATATTTCGGACTGTTTCTATTTTCATACATTTAAATTTACAATATAAAGCACAATGAATTTTCTCTTCAGGATTTCTAAACGTTTATTCAGTGCGTTTTTATTGCATTGAAAAATATTATTAACTTTAAAAACATCTAAAAATTGAAGTGACTGCTACTGCATGATAATTATTTAGCAATTCTTATGCAAAAATTATCGCATGCATTTCAAGGCTTAGAAATTAGTCTAAAAGAAAGACGAAGGATAAGATCCGATATAGCATAAAGATAACCTGGCTCATGCCATTGCCAATTAGGGTACGGTTTTAATTTCGGGCTCCTTGTCTTGGAACGTCTGGGCACGGTAGCCAGAGTCACCGGTATGCCAGCTCTCCACTTTGGCAAAGTAATGAATACTTTATCGCGCCAGACTTCCAGGCCCAGGGGCAAGTTATTCTCTGCGATGTAGTCGCCCTCGAATATAGCGTTGTCTCGTGCGTCGATACTGTCGAATTCAAAATCAATCGTGGACCAAGCGTATACCTATTAAAAAATTGTTACAACTATAAATACAAAGTTTATTAAAAAATCCACACTAAGAAAAATGTTTCGTTCTATAAACCAAAATTTTACTAAATTTGATTGAAATATACCGAACGAACATTTTTTTAGTTAAAATGTACCGAAAAACTGTAATTTTATAAGAACTAAATTATTTAGTTGCAAACAAATATTTTTGTTATTTACAAAGCAGAGAAATTATTTTACAAAAGCAATTAAATTTTTTGTTATAACAAAATATTTGGTTGCAGTTAAAAAATGCTTCAACTAAATAGTTTTGCTGAAGGCACTGCACAGTACTTATATCATCACGAATTGTAATTAAGTGCGAATAATTTTTTGTCAACAAAATTTCAATTCTATAAAACAATTCTGTAAAATGAGCTTAAATTTTTTTGTTGTTCTGATAGATCACGTAATAATCGATTATTTACATGCAGCAGAAACGTATTGCTTTTTTATTTATCGATGAGATTACTGACAAATAACAGAGTAACAAGCGTAATTGTAATATACTGTAATTGATTTATTAATTCTATATTAACAAAGCTGTGCGTATTGACAGTCTATATCAAATTACATAAATTATTTGAGCGACTTGCTTCCAATATTACATTTAAAAATCGACAACGTTTAGTCATCGCGAAATGTTTTGAATCACTTTCGCTTAAACTTGCCACAAAAAACGCCACTTACTAGTTCCATAGCGGGACCAACGTAGTCGTCTATAATCCGTCCCGGTTCGAAACCGTCGCCGAAATCGTGGAAATCTAATTGATTGACCGAGTGAGGATCCGCGCGGAACATATCGATGGCTCTTCCAATGGACCTAGAAGGATTGCTTCTTCCTAGATTGGATGTAGCAATGTGGTGTCGTGATTGCGGCGTTGACCCGTAAAGATTGCCTACGTTCGTGGAATCCATTGATTTTTCCTTCGGCGGATGATTATCGCAATTTCGCGATGTGCCGGCGTGTTCATCATAAGTCAATGCGGAATCTTTGTAGTTGGTGTTCTAGCAAAACGTGATGAAATTTCACGAAACACGTTATCATTTTTAATCAAAGAATTCTAAACAAACGTAAATGGCTTCGACCTTTAATTGTAAATAAAACAAATATTATTATGTATAACACATTTTAAAAAATAAATATTTCAGGTAAAAAATTAGTTAGAAATTTACAAAATTAATTTATAATTTATTAAATAAGTTATAAATTGACTATTGAATAATTAAAAATAAAATTGTTTATATTGTTTCTTACGTGTGAAAAAAATTGTGGAGTATAAAAGGATGAAGTTAACGGCAACGAGGGTGCTTGAAGGTCCCTGGATAAAATACTAGGACCTGTATAAGCCGCAAATTTTGGGACAGCCAGTAGCGACATTGATAGCAACCATGGTATCGTGCTCGCCATGCCTGTGAAGCAAAATTTAGGGCCTCCTGTGTGATAAAATTTATATTTTCATGACGCGAAATTGCACCAAATTGCCTGTCTGCACTATATGTACACTATATGATAAACATGTCTTTTATGAAGTGGGCCTATTCTGTAACTCTTAACTACTCTAACGATATCGTTAAACTATCGTTGCGCAGCTATTTTGCAGTAAACATAACCTGCGCAATGATAATGTAACGATAATCGTTGCAGTCATTAAAAGTTACAGAATAGGTCCCTATAAGCGCCGCACGGTTTTTCATTATCTAGTTAACTAAAGTAGTCGCACAGGCTGTGACGCAAAAGTGTCGCTAAATGAGCGTCTACAACAGTCGTAAGGATTGTTTGCGACCAATACAACTATAGTTTAAGTACAAGGGTATGCTCATACGCATGGCCAAGGCTTCGTTCTTCATTATCTCTCTGTCAACGACATTCTCCTCAAATTCTGTTTCACTCATTTTAAGAGAATCACATAATTCGACACGACAACAAATTCTACCGCTATATTTGTCGTGCTGTGATTGCCCAGCATCCGAGAATGGATTAAAATGGATTGGGCATTTTGTCTATTCGAATTCGTAATTTAAACAGTGAAAACTTTTTTTGGATTCAATTGGATTCAATTGGATTCAATTAGATTCAATTGGATGCAGGATTGAAAAACTGCGTTTCCTATTCAAAGTTTCGAATTGTACAGTATTCACTATGGTCGCAAACGCATCACTGAAAAAGCTGATATTATTTTTTGATTGAAAGGTATACAGATATGCTCCATGCAATTCCTATAAATGAATAAAAACGTATTTGGATTGAAAAGAATTCATTTTAACATTCATGAATCCGTATTTCTGAAAATCTGAATCCATTTTAATCCATTTCAATCCATTCTCAGATATTGGATGGCTGAGAATGGATTGAAATGGATCATGCGACACGCTTGTCGTAGGCGCAGAAAGTTGAAATTGACTCAACTCCGTACGACAAGAATTCTTACGATTGCAACAATTCCTGCGATTGACTAACTAGATGCGACACTTCTGCGACATTTCATACGACATGCGACACAGCCTGTGCGACTATTGTTGCACAAGGTTTTAAGGAGATGCTAGAGAGTGATCAAATTATTTGATATTATATAGTCGTATAAAAATCTCCGAATTGACTGAACGGAATTAAAAATCCTTTTTACTTGTACACTCTGTCGTTGTATATACACTTAAGCTATTTACCGCTAACGGCTAACACTACTATAAATTCAACTGTGTATGCATGCATATCCAAGTAACATTACCAACTTAATATTCTTCTTAATATTATTCTTTATGCACGTCTTTGCGACGTGACAGTTAAAAGAAAATAATTCCTTAAAAAATATACCATTATTTGTCTTCGAAATGTGAAACATGATACCACAAAAAATTCAATAATTTAATTAATTAATTAAAATAATCAAATTATTTGGTATGTTACGTCGAAGCGACGTGCAAGAGACGTTTCATATTTTCTGCGACTTTGCGACCAAGATTATAGTACGTCTCTTTATAGTGCAGGCAGGGTTATTTATTACGTCTTGATAATCCTATTACATCGTTATAGCTGTTACGAGTTATGAATCAATAAGAATTATAAGATTAAATGAAAATGAACGAAAGGATGAACATTGATGTTCCCAATATGATTAGAAATGCAGTGAGATCTTTTCGCGGAGTCTAAGATTCTAAGACACACATCCGACGACATGGTAATATTTATCTCTTTTATTGAGGTAAGTGGGTCTCTCTGTGCGTTCTCGATGCAATCGTCGATGGCGGCACCGTGCGCTCGATTAAATGTTAATCATCTGTCAGCACGTGACATATGATGCATAACATACGAAAGCGCTGCATTATTTGCTGACATGAATGTCGGAGCGAAAGCGATTTACGAGGATGAGTCGTTCCTTACTTACTTCGAACGACGGAGACGATCCTCTTCTATTAATTCGGGACTCGGAGATCGGGAACGGCGTTAACTCAGAGCTATTATAGTTCTCGCCCTAACGACGTACTATCGAAGATGTGTAGCGCGAGGGAAGACGAGTGCTCGAGATGGCACCATGGATGTTACGCGACTACCATATTCCACTATCCGGGTCGTAAGTGTGTCTTAGATCCTACGAAAGGAGAGAATGGCGAATCCCTTCTCCCGAAGATGATTTTCCCTCTCGTCTGTATTACGACTCCGGACTCTAAGTCGTGGTATAGGTCATTGGTGGATGGGTTCATGGGAACTCGCGTATTTGCTCGAGTAATGCATTTGCGAATGAGGGCACTAAACAAACATCCCCTTTTTACTCCCAGTTTAGTAAATCGACGATAATAAGCGGTTGTAGCGATAAATCTTTTTTTGTAATAGAGTTACAATGAGCTTTGTCAAATCATTCATCGAGTTACATGCTTTGTTCTAATTTTTTGATGGACATATGGGGTGGTTTTTTGGGGGAAATTTTAATAACTATAAGGGAGATATTTTTTAGAAAAAGAAAAGCAAGTAAAACTGAAACGAAAGCATGTAGAGAGGAACGCCTCGTAAAAAAATAAGAGCCATCCTTATGATTGCGCGAGCATTTTCTGAGGAAGGCGGTTCACTTTATGGCACCAACAAGCACCATAATTACGTTTTTTACGAGGCGACACCGGGTATTTCTTTTTGTTGCTCCCCTCTAGGTAAAACTCATTTGAATTTTACAACGCTGTAACAATGCGGATTCTGCGTAATTCGATTGCTCGCGTACAGGTAACTTGCACGAAGAGCACAACGCTGTACCATTAAAAATGTTAATGACTAACTTTTTACTTTCTACTTTTAACTCTCGCAATTTAGAATAATTTTTGACATTAAATGCCGTCTTGTTGTAAAATAAATAAAATGTAAAATTATATCACTTAATTATTAAAGTCAATATTGTTGTAAGTAATAATATCTGTGGAAATAAATAAATTACAAAGTAACGATGTGTTGTGTAATATCTAATTAAGAAATTAACAAATATGCTTAATATGATGCTCAGCGTGATAATATAATTAGAAATTTAATATTATTTTAATCATAATATCTAGCTTATTTAATTATATAGAATTTAGATGTCGAATTATGAGCTAAGTACATGGTTACGAAGAGCCAATTATAATTCGTGTTGACATTTAAAGACTCACGATGTCTGTATGGTAAATCGTGCTGCCTTCTGTGGTCCCGGAAATCATGATGATAGTTCAGACTAGATTCATCTGTGGTGCCGAAAGTATAATCAGGAGAGGCATAGAAATAACTAGGTTGGCTCGTTCTCCTCGGGGGCATCCAGTTGTCCGTATGATAACCATCCGCTTCTCTCCACATCGTTGCTCCTATTCTTTCTCGTCATGGCATGTCTGGAAGCAATACAGTAAGCCGATTATGCGAAAACGATAATTAAGCTGTCAAAGGAAAACCGAGACCGTTGAGATGCAACATTTATCCGGATAATCTGCGTATTATGGACGCAGATGAATTATGAACACAATTTCTTTGTAACATTACGTAAACACAGAAAAGAGTGACCTACAAATACTGCTATGTTAAATACGAGTAATCCTGTTGTTAGTATAGAGATACGTAAGTATGTATACGATATGTTCGTTTGATTAAAATAATAAAAGCATCAGTTTATAAAATAAAAAAGCTAATATTAATAAAGCATTTATTACGCTATAATTGTTTAATTTTATGTATATTGTAATCAGAGTTCAATATTTCTCAAATTTATACATAAATAATAATTAAATATATATTTAATTAATACTGTAATAAAATAATTAATATTGCAATACAATGTTATTACCTAATACTAAAAAAAATAAAGGTAGATATTATGTATTTTTAAAAGATGTTTAAAATTGTACAGTTAATAATATATTTATATATTTTCACTTTTATATAAAGTATATATATATATATACACGTTGTAAAAAAAAAAGAAGATTTAATTAACTATTTTTAAGTTAAATTAATTATTTAATTAATTCAGAAATTTTTTTAAATCTGGTTTTTCCATAATTGAGAAAAAGAAACACGTGAGCATGACTGTTAGTTGTAATTTTAATAATCTTAATTCGACCAAATGTTGGCGTATGCTTTTTCGTTTAGCAAAACGCTGCAATAATTGCGTCAATGTGCCACGATAATTTCATGGTTACGCATGCGGAATGTTATTCGATGCAAAAACGCACTTCGTGACAAATCATAATTTACTTACATATAGCAGACAAGAGAAAACCATAAAGCTATAGATGTAATTAAACATTCTTTTTCCAAAATTTCAAAAATTGTATTTCAAGAAATGAAGAAAATTACACAGAAAATTGATTTCTAAATTAGAATTTTTATAAAAATTTAAGCAGTGTTTTGAAAAGAAAAATCAATCGAAATGTAATTTATTATTAATGCATCAATAATAATTTTCTTTCAAATTCTGATCAAAATATTTTGAATGTTTTAATTCAATATTTTGACTAAAGCGCAAATTTTTATTCTATGCAAGTCTTCTATCCTAGATTATATTTTCATTATTTCATCAATTAAAGGTTATAACTCTTTAGTTAGAACTTTTTAGATTTCCTTTTCTTTTATTCCTTGCTTTATTTATTTTAATTTCTTTTTATAATATATATCTATTTATTTATTTTAATACTTAAGCAACTTAATTATTTTTTTGTCTTTTTCTTTTTTCTGTCTTTACATATATTCGAGAACACCTTTTACTGAAAGTAAAAGAAATTCAATTTGTACGCGTCGTTTAAATGCAGCAAAGTATTCGGATTATAATCGCATAAACATGAGTTTAGTGAAGTCTGTGATGGAATTACAATCATTAGTTCCACACACGGCGAATGCACTTTTCTTTGATGACGCGACATTTCGCTCAAGCTCATGGTCGATCGTTGTGAAATGATCGCGCGTGCTATCCTGCCTCTCTTTCCCTTCTCATCGAAGTCAAATACGGACACAATTCACGCTAGTTTGAAATAGCTTCGTTCCGATGACTCGTTCAGTAAGCGAAGCGGGACGCTCTTTTCGATTTTAACATAAATGCCACTTTCCACCGGAGATTAGAAGTACTTTCCGCTTTCGCACTTACTTCCTCCTGCTGCCGGCGCCGAGCATTTCATAAGCGACATCGATACTCGGACACCGAGACATAATTAACAATTTAAACGTTGAACTTATAAACGATGTGCACTGTCACGAAAATTCATGCGCCCATTGAGAAAAATGTATTTGATATTTATGACTAATTGTATGGTAATTATACTTAATAGGAGCTTATATAATTTTTGCATATAGAACTATATAAATATAATTATATTAAAAGTTATACATTATATAATATTATAATATTATTATTACTTAATATTATTTAATATTATTATACATACTTATATAAGCAATATAAGTTAGTATAAAACTATAATATAAGTAATATAATAATAACTAAAAATGGTGTTTTTATTTATAATTATTGTATCATTCAATTATTGTCAAAAATATCAAACACTTTTCTCTTAATGTCGTTTCGCAACAATTATCATCTTCGTGCTAATTATTACTGTTATAAGTTTATGATAAATGATAAATGATGAAGTATGTACAAAGTATAAAGTATTACCGCACTGCTCCTTTTTATAACCGCATCGCTATGTTATTATGCGCAAAAGTCATGTAATTACTTGCAGCACGCAATTACAGAAAGGTGAAGTACCTGACTAGACTACTAGAGCAACACGCTGTTGCTTCGACACTCCTACAACGCGCACTGTATCTCTTCGTCAAAGTTTCGCGATATTTGTGCCCTTTACCGCACACCCTCTCCGTTTAAGTCTGCACCGTGATTCGTTATTTCCTTCCGATTCAATGCATTCGGCCAGTCACCGCCGAGGTGTTGCCGTAAATGTCGAAGATAAATTATCTGTACGACCCACCAATTATGAATAATATACATCGTTCTGCGTTTGATGAAATTACTACACTGAAAATATAATTTTTTGAAAACAGTTAAAAGCCTCATACTTTAATAGCAATAAGAGAAATATTATTTTCAATAATCTCAAAACTTGTTTTGTCGAAAAATTGTACTGTATGCTAACAATTTTTATTAAAAAAATACATTTTTTATTTTGTTATTCTAGTTGTATTTAGAGAAAGGTTTCTTTGATTCAAAGAAATGTTTTTTGCTATATGATTGAAGAAGAAATTTCTTTGAATTAAACGTCATATTTTTATTTAAACATTATTTTTTAAAATCATATAAAAAATTTATTTGATTATCAAAAGAATGTTCAAATTGAAGAAACGATGTCCAAATCAATAAAATTTTTTCTTTAACCGTATAATTGCAAAGAATTATTTTTTTTAAATCGAAGAAAACTTTTCTCTGGATGTAATATATACATCCAGAATGAAGACAAGAGGAAGAGAATTTATTTTCTACATATTTATATTTGTGATAATTATATATTATTTATAGAGAATACTTAAAAATAATTTGATATTATTTATTGAATTATAATACTATTTTTTTAAATATTTTATAATCTTTAATAATATAAATTTGAGAAATAATGACAAGTTAAATATTTCAGCAAAATCAGTTTTTAGTAGAAAACTAATTTTTTACTTCACAAATGACGTCTAAATAATTTTCTTTGTTGAAAATAAAACATTTTTGATGAAATTGAAGTAAACAACGTGACATTTTTATTAAAAAATATTATTTTTAATTCAATTATAATAATTAAAATATTTTGTGCATATTATTTATTACGAGATATATTTATTTATAAAAAGAAGTGAATATTGCGAATGAAAAACGTAAAAGTGAAACGAATCTATCGCGCATCTAAGTAAGTCGTAACTTGTTAACGGAAAAACGCATGCAGATTGTATCGCATGTGATATATACGTTGTACACGCATTAATAAGGGTATATATATCAGAACTTTCAAACAAACTTTCTATTGGAAAAATGATCTAAAAATTCCTTTTTTTTTTTTCTTGTGATTGAGCCATGCATGTGATATGGTCTATTTGGTATTTAAAAATACGATACGGTTTATTGCGTGTTTAAAAATTATACATTATTGATTAAGATTTTAAAGTTTACATTATGTAATACACATGGTATTACAATTTACTAAATTGATCTGAATATTGCTATAAACTCACAAATATTTTTATCTTTTATTTTAAACGAAGAAATATACACTTAACTAAACCGGATAAACGCGAATCTAATCTAACTTCTATTCACTTTACATTTACGTACATTTATTGCACGCAATGTACGTTTCCTGTAAAAAGATTACTTACTAATATACATGGATACGTAATTATATTAATCCGTAACGAAGTTTCTACCTCGCGTTTTTTTTTATTTTAAGAAACTTTCCCTTGAAAAAGGTGTTAATGTATATATCATTATAAGGTTATAAGTTTAATGTTAAATGATTAGAATTTTTAATTAATCATTAAACATATTATAAATACATAACATATTTTTATAAATATTTCAATAACAATCTATAAATTATTTTTATTTATTAACGCAATAAACGTCTGATTATGGTTTTACTAATAGTTTGAAACAAGATTTGTATATACTTAATAAATTAATTGTAGATGTAGATAACATGTTTCAGAAATTAATTTTAATTTTTTGCTTATTAATTTTAAATTAACCAAATGATTTTTGTTGAGCAGCTTGCTCAAGTGTTCCAACATGCTAGGCAGTTCTATAAACAGACCAAAAAAAATATTGTCCAACAATATATCGTGTTTATAGCTAGGAATCACGTTCCGTATCATACAGACGTACTTTAATCGTAAATTTTTCAGATCTGTAGTCTCTGCACGTTATGGGAAGATTTAAAATAAAAAACGGATGTATTCAGATGTTTCGCCATTCTCGAGATACCATCTGGCAATCGGAAACTTTCGCCCTTGATGGTGTAATTCGTGACTCGGTTGGATCACAACCACAAAGAAATTATCTTGGATTCGAGTCGCCAAGTTTTTTGTTATCGTTGTCGTAAAGTACGAGTACCATATACACCTGAGAAAGGAAGCCAAAATTTTGCAAGATTTAAGTAACAGTAATCCACTTTTCTGTTTCGTTTTGATATATTTAAGAATTTATAAACTGAAATAACTATATGTATAAAATTATAGCTATCGTATATCTCTGTCCCTAAAATGCACAGATAATTTTTAAAAAGTTCTTTATCTATCTTTTTTTTCAACGCATTTATAAGTTGTAATAAATTCAAAAGTCTACAACTAATTGAAATTATTTTTTTTTTTTAAATCAATTTTTGAGGAAAGAAACTTGATCTTAATACAATGCATTTTCATTTTACCCATAAAGCATTCTTTAGTATTGCAAATATTTTAATGTCAATTATTTGATGATTATGATAAATATGTTTTAACGTTTTCTTTATTTTGTTTATAGTTTATAATTAAGAGATATATAATTTTAAAATATTATCTTAAAATTATGATTAAGAGGAATAAATTACGTTTGTAATAAATGTATCATTTTAAAAATACAAATATTTCTAAACAGTAGAATTAACAATTAAAAAGTGAGTTAAATTTTTTAGATAAATTTCCATTTATTACAATAATTTATAATTTATATTCATTAAATATTGCTAGTTTCAGTGTACAACTTTTATTTTATTTTTTTCATCGTAATCTTGTTATGTAATAAATGATTAATAAATAATATTTCTTAATAGTAATTATACAGTAATTATTACTTAATACGTAATTATTATAATAATAACACATTTAGTGTACAGGGATATACATAAAATACGTAAAATAAAATTTGATATAAAAAATACACGTACATTTCAGTACTTACATTGGGTCTCTGTTGTCAATAAAATTAAATAAAATATTCATTACATTAGGAACGGGGTGATATATTTTATCCGTTATTATTTCCGGATGAATACCTTATATACTACAGCACCAGAGAAAACTATCGTAAACAGACTGTAAAGCTGAACTGGCACCACGAGTAGCCTCAGGGATCCTCGAGTTCTACAAAATCTTGAGAACATGGAGAGGACTCGTTCTTCGCATCGGGAATAGGTATATATCAAGGTACACATAGTATCGCGCGTTTTTCAGTTGTGATCAATAAAAATAGTAAAATCTGTGACTGGTCTGTGACTGTAGATCGATGTGACGATCCAAGGGAAAAAGGATGGTCGGGTAAAGACTCTTGGGAATGAATACGATGAAGGGATCAGAAATGGGAAGTGGTGGTACTCCGGGAAGAATTCTGGATACTTATGCCACCAGACGGACGTCACCGCCTGAAAATGCGAATCATCGACCTCCCCGTGGTGCCACGATCTTCATTTGGCGAACAGTGGCGCGGGCGCGGACGTCTCGTAACCGCGATTGCGGTCAAGGTGGAGACCCACACCGTTACACTTGGTACCGCGAACCAGCTCGTCTACGTAACCGGCCTGTATCCGGAAGTTCGTCTCATTCGAGTTCATAGTCGCGGTCATGAATTTTTGGAACGACGATGTGAGAATCCACAGCTCTTGACGGCCGTTTTTTGCGGTGATGACCTGCAATGAGATTGGTCACGGTATTGATTACACTAATGTAAGCTTCGAAATAAAGTGCGAAAAGATCGTAAGGGAAAACGATTTCCCAATACTTCTAAGCAAATATAAAAGTCGATACAATGTAATTGTAATGTACATTCTACCTTTTATTTATATATAAAACTGTCAATATTATTACGTTTATCTTCGCGTTAAATCGGAGATATTTTATTTTATTTTATTATTTTAACAAAAATTATTAAAAAAGATTATAATACATATTTTTTAGCTATAGAAATATGCGTCATAAAAGATTTGATTAAACAATTCTGTTGAAATAAACTGTCATCGTACCTTCATTCCAGATGGAAATTGTAGCGTATCGGAATTGACAATAATGACTTCGTTATTGGTACCACCGTACTCGGGATGAGTGATACTATTCCAACATCCTAATGCGAGCTCTGACAGAAGACCGAAGAAGAGAATTCCATTCTGATCCATAGCTTGAGCGGCCGACTGTGATGACCTTTCTATAGCGAATGCACGGAACGACCTTGGTGCAGCATCAGA